CATGTTTTTCAGGTAGCAGTTACTGACATGATGTTGTGCAGGGTGGGTACCTTTGGCATCCCCTGGAGCTCTTCTTACACACATCCCTGCTCTTGCACTCCTGCTGCACAGGACTAAAGCGTGGGATGTGTGTGCTCCCGGTGTCAGGCCCACCAAGGGCAAGGGGAGAAGCAAGGGATGTGGGCGAATCAAAGCAATTCAATAGTTGTGTATTCTGTTAGACAATAGTTCATGAAAAAATATTTTTGTCTGTGTGGAGCTGATTTTTTCCCCCATGGAAAAACAGTTGTTTTTATAGTGTTTCCCAACTATTTTGTCACGTGGTTAGTTTGCTGTCCTTTCTGTTCTGAGAGCTACCTTAGCAAAATGCTTGGTGATCAAGCCTGATTTTCTCATATTCACAGTTAATTTTTTGTAAGTGGAAGCAATACATTTGGAAAGAACCGCATTGATACTGTTTTAGATTTTGAACCCTTTGACACAGAGGGACAATCAGCATTGAATTGGTGACTGTATATTTTTCCCCCTTGAGTTCTATCGTTTCTGTTTTATTTCTGCAGTTGTTTGTTCCTTCCTCTTTTTCTGCTTGGAAATTAATCATGCAGGAAGCGATTAACCGCAGCGAGCTGTCTGTCTGCCTGTGACTCAGTGCGTGCGAGGGGTGCCCAGACCGCCTCGAAATGGCTGACTGCAGGCGAGCCCTGCAGCTGCAGCCCAGTTGCTCACGCTGTGCATCCCACATGAGATGTCCTTCTTTGGCACATGTCGCACTCAAAGGAAATCTCTGAGGTACTAAATTGAACGTGAAATGCCCAGAACTTGTGTTTTGCTGTAGTGCCTCTTTTACAGGTGGGTTGCTTGGCAGGGCAAGGGCTCTTTGCCAAATGTTATACACTCTGTTTTTCCCCTGAGCTTTGTTTTTTTGGGTTTTTTTTCGGATGCAGTTAGTTCTTATCAAAATGTGTTGCATATCATAACATGCTCCATCTTTGGAGCCCAGAGGCTGGCATTTTGGTGATAGCTACCTTAATTCTTGCTGCTGCAGTACCGGGATTTAAGCCTAGTATTTACATACAGTGATGATAGTGGACACTACTGACTAGAAAATGCACAAGAACATGTGTACCGAGTCTCAAAGTTCTGATGCTCCTTCCAACTTTCTTTTGAAATGAGTTCTTTTTCAATACCTTGTGACACTGGTTGATACAAACAGCTCTGTTGTTAACAGACTCAGTAGGTAAAATTTATCAGCTATTATTGTATTTTATGGTGTCAGCTGTTAGCAACTGGAGTTAATGTCTGTTCCTTAAATTAGGGTCTTTCACACTGATTGAGTGCAAATAATGAACCCTGAACCACTGTACACACAAGACAAAAGCCAAAGCTTCCCTCTAGCTGCAGAGTTGCTCTTAGCATCCTGGGACTCCTTTGTGCTTTGTGCAAAGCAGTGGTGAATGAAGCACAGCGGCAGGACTTGAGTCCAGTGCTACACTATGCACAGTTGAGTTAGAGCTTCAAAAGCAGCAGGTGCTACTTGTTGCTGCATTTTGAGTTTCTGATGCTCTTTTTTTTTTCTCTTTTTTTTTTTCTCAGCAGCAGGAGCAGAGCTGTGCTTTTATCAAACTAATATCGCTATTAGTTTGATTTGTCCACCAAAAATTACTCTAAGTTGTCACATCCTTTGCAGCAGACCTTTTCCAAGAAAATATCACTGAAAAGATCACAGCTTCAGAGCAAGAGCACTGTGTGTAAACAATTTGAGGCCAGTGCTGCCAAAGTTTGACCTGTCTCAGAAACTTGCCTGATGCCTGCAAAATGCCTTTTGCCAGCCCTCCTAGCAGCTGAATCACAGGCTATAGCGTTTGTTCAGCAGCAGCTGGACAATAAGCTGGCCAGTGTACAGCTGCATCTCTGGCTTCCACCCATTCTGCTGATAAAGCCCTTTGGTACCAGAAATGCTAGCTGGTAGGCAGCTGGCACTGCAGGCACAGTGAGAGGCATCCTTCTCAGTAGGACAGGAGTGGAAACTAGATACGTGTTAGGGTAGATCTATAGATACAGGAGTTGCTCTGATTGTAATGCCTCCTGTTTTATTATGTTGGCCCATGGTGTCAGGCAAATGTCGATGGTATGGCAGTAGAGGTTGAACCTTCCCACCAGTATCCCATTACATGGTTTTGCCATGTGACAGATGGCAGCGGAAGGGCAGTTTGACAGAATGGTGTCTGACATGGAAGTGCATATGGAGCAAAGGTGTGGAATTGAATTCCTCCATGCAGAAAAAATGATACCCACTAACATTCATTGATGCTTGCTGAATGCTTATGGTGACCAGCCAGTGGAGATGAGCACAGCGAGGCAGTGGGTGGTGTATTTCAGCAGTGGTGACTGCAAGGTGAAAGATGAGCCACGTTCTGAATGGCTACGCACATTTTTATCAGCACAGCATACAGTATCTTGTTCATTGCTGGCAAAAATGTGCAGTTGATGGTGGTGACTACGTTGAAAAATAATATTCTGTAGCAGAGAATGTGCTCTATCAAAGAGTGTTATTGTGCTCTTTCTATCTGTTGTAGTTTCCATGGCTATGAATAGGAGGCATTACTTTCAGACTGATTGCATGTGTATTTATGTATCTATATGTATCTACACACATACATATCTATACAGCTACATATAGAAAGAGGTACATACATCTTTACTAGGTAGATATTGATATTTCCCTGGAGGAAGGGATAGGCAAGCAGGAGGCACAGTGCTTTTCTTCCCCTTACCTCCTTGCAAGCAATGTGTCAAGGAAGGTCTTGGAGTGGTAGAATGCTTTCATGGGCAGTGGCTCCTTCTTAGAGAGCTCAGGCTTTGAGTGCTACTCTGCTCCTCCTCTATTCCCACCAGTTTCTTATGAAGCTGACCCAAAACAACCCAGTGAAGGAAAGGAAGGAGAAAAGAACAGCACAAACATGCAGAAAGCAATAATTTAACAAACAGGGAGGTAGGCAAGTTATACATTTGCAAAAATGCTGTTAGTTGAAGAGCACACTGTAGATCAGCTAGCTGGCTTGCTGCACGCAGGTTTGAGCTGCCTTAAGAAATTAATTTAAAAGTCTGATAAAAAACAAATTTTATCCTCCCTTCTCAAGGAGCTTCTCTTGGCACATGGAGCACCAAGAAGATTCAGGAGGGGGCATTTTCTGGACTGCTTCAGCCTCTTACCAGAGCAATGCAGAGAGCAGCTTCTCGTTTTGATCAGTTGAAGGAGTTAAAAGTGAAGTAGCTTACTGGCACAGTTACACTAGAGACAACTGCAGCTGTGAAAAGACTGTGTTAAGAAACAGGATGGTTGTGGTCTGCTAAAAGAAATAATTTTCCTGTTGACTATTTTTTTAAACAGGAAGTTGAACAAAGCAGCATTAGTCTTAGTTCTTTTAATAGAGTTCAGATTTTAAGTACTGAATTTAGGATAATAAGAAAGGATAGGGCTCAGCAGAGTTTTATGTGGGGACTGATTGCAGGGAACTCAGAAGTCTGAAGTGCAAGTGGATTCTGGCAGATCCTGGGAACCTGAAAGCTGTGCCTCTCTGGTGACGCCTCCATAGGAGAGGTAACTCCTGCAGGATGAGTGGGTGGGAGACTTGTGTCAGTTTGCAGGGTTTGTGACTGTGGTGTTTGCACAGTGCTGCACAGACTTGGCTTCGCACAGTTTCCTCTTTGTCAGTCTGTCCATCCATCAGCTTCCTCTCTGCTCTGCTTGTGCTTTCTCAGTAACAGGAGCAACAGCATCTGCAGCAGGGGAAAATAAAACCTCCACACACCAGAGATAGCGGTAATGCCTTGAGCCTGCCCCATGCCACTCTGCTCTGAATTCCTTGTCAGCTTGAGCTAGGGGTGATGTGCTCATTTCCTTTCCAAGCCCTCTTCTCCTTGAAAATTTGACATGGGATGCTCTGCACTTCTGCACAAGCTCAGGGCTGAGCCTGTCAGAAGGTCCCTCAAAGCACAAGTATTTTTAGGGGCAGGCAGCACAGCAAACTACTGAAATGTCTCAGCACCATCAGGAAAACCCCTGAGCTTCCAGTGGGTACAATTCCTGCTACCAGTGTGCTAAAATGCCACTAACAGCCCTTGTGACTTGGAGAAGGAAAAAAAAAAAAGTCCACTGTGATTTTCAGTTTCAGTGAATTTCTGCATCCTGCGTGTGCCTGTCCTGGAATTACTGGAGTTACGTGTGGGGAAAAAGCAGGAGCCTGGTCTCAGGCAGCAGAGCTGAAGAAGTGGTCTCTGGCTGCCAAGCTTTCCCCTGCACAGCAGCTTGCTTGTTCTTCCTCCTCAGGGAACATGCACAGAGCATGGCTGCATTTGCTGCTTCTGAGAAGGAGGGTATATTCAGAGGTGGTGGTGGAGTCTGGCTTCTTGAGAGCAAGCTGGAAGAGGAGGTGCATGAGTCTTTCCTGGAGGTCTGCCTTTGCACCATACCCAGAACAGTGAGGGGGTGTTGTCTTCCAGCAGCTGAAAGATTTCAAAAGGTCAACATCCCTTTTTGAGTACCATCCTAAAGGGATAGAGCCTTGCAGAAATAGAGGTTGATGATTTTACCAAAGAGGTTAACCTGCCATAATTCCACAGGAACAAGATTGCTGGATTAAACAGAGTTCAGTTTTGTATTCTATTGTTGCATGTGACCACGTTACATTTTTGTGCATTGCCAGAGCAAAAGACTATGCAATGGTTGTGTGTGTACAGAACTAGGTATGTGTTTCTTAGAGTTTGCATGGCTATGGAGATCGTGCAGGGAACACCTATTTAAGGATGTAGCTTTTATCCATACAATTAAACATGAAGTGCTTTTAACAGACTGCTTAATCTTAAAAAAGAAAAAGAAGAAAGAAAAAAAAAAAAAAAAGATAAGCCTGCTAGATGCGGGATTGGTTTGAAGAAATACCTCCCAAAAGTGACAGATTTATTAATCTCTGGGTCTTTGCATTTTGTGTTTTGCTGTGCAGATTTCTTAGCAAGATCAGCTGGAGCTCAGCCTTCCACCATGCCTGTGCCTCCCCCACCTGCACCCCCGCCGCCACCAACACTGGCCTTGGTAAGTCTTACAGGAGGTGGATGCACTGTATATGCTGTCCTATTTGCTGCTTGTCCTGTTGAAAGGGACGTACAGATACACTGATGGATGATGGTGTGCTTGTATCTGCGTTGTTTTCCTGCATTTTGTATATGGTTGATTGATTCCTGCAAGAGGGTCCATTGCTTCCATTCCCTTTCAGCGCCCATGTGGATGTCACTAGCCACATTCACTTCCTCTTCTACCCATACTGGTTGTTTGCCTTGGAGCGTGGATCTTGGGTGGGGAGGCACAGCTTGTCTAACTGGGAGGAACTGAAGTCTTGCTTTCCCCTTGTCTTTCCCCAGCCATACATTCTCACTTTCTCCTTTGTCCCTCTCTAACACATATTGTGACCTTGCAGTGAACTGATCAGAGCACCTGAGGCAAAAAATAATCTCATTTTTTACTTTTTATAAGGATAGTTCTTAGGCAGCTTAGCTTTCTCAGCCAGTCTGTGGTATGAAGGTATGAGAACCACTGCTGGCACAACATAGTGGGTGAAACTACACTGGACCTGGTTTCAATCAGCCTAAGCTGGAACAGAGCCTGCCCTGGGCTGTGTTTGCTCTTCATCAGGCAGACAAGAAAGAAAAAGCTTCTGGAAATGCTGTTGTAGAGTACTCAAATGTTTTCATACCAAAGGCCTAGCTGGTTACCCAGATTGACAGCATGACATAGTCTTTCCCTCACTGCCCACCACAAGCAAAATACAGGCTCTGTGCTTGGACCCTCCGTGGCAGCTCTCACTAACCTTCATGAAACTTCTGTAACACTGCTTTTTTTTCAGGAACCACCATTTCCTGGAAGAAGTAACCATATATAGATGTGTGTGTAGCCAGAACTCCATCTTTCTTCTGGTTTATCTAGAACTTGTGTATTTCGAGTTTCACTACGACTTTCAGAAATGTCCATCTTTTTTCTGTAATCAAACTGTGTTAGTAGTTTGCCCAGGCTCTATCTCCGAAATAGTAATTTTCCACAGATGTGCTTTGGCTTTAAAAAATCAGAGACTCTTGAATTAAAAAAAAAAAAAAAAAAAAAAAAAGTTAAGTTCAAACAAAAGTGTTCTGTTTCCAGTAAACTGCGAGTAGCAGCAGTGCCTGGAGTCAGTAACAAGGACAGCTACTTATAGCATAATTCACAAAACCAGATGTGGCATACTACCACAGTGGGTTGCGATAATAGAAATTAAGGTCTAAGGTAACTACCATATTGGAGCAGAACTGTGCATCTAAAATTTGAGGTTTATTTTACCTCCTCATTTTTGATTTTATTTTGCAGGCAAATACTGAAAAACCAACTCTAAGCAGGTCAGAACAGGCAGGGCGAAATGCTCTATTATCTGATATCACCAAAGGAAAAAAGCTAAAGAAGACTGTTACTAATGACAGAAGTGCTCCAATTCTAGACAGTAAGTATGATTCTGCATGGCTGAGTTTGTGTACTTAAATGGTTCTATATATCTGAATGCAGAAAATTATGTATCTCTCATTGGATGAACTGCCATGGGAAATGCAGGTAAAACAAAATGCCCAGAGCTGATATATACAAAAATAGATTCTGCTTTTTGTGGATTAAGTGAGCTGAGAAATCAAGTACTGCTTATGAAATGTGGTCATCGGTTTCCTCTCTTACTCTCATAAGGCAATTCATTTTCTCATTTGCTCAAACCAGAACACCATGGAAACCCTACTAGGAGACCTGCTGAGAAGCTACAGTAGCACAGGGAGAGAAATTCCTTTCAGTACTGAGGACAGTGGGGAGAAGAAAGTGCACAAAAATAAGGGCAGCCATGGCATGGCACCATTGGCGTATTAATGGACCCATAGTGCTGGAAGCAGTCGGAGCCACAGCTTCAGCCAGGTGCTGCTGTGCTGCACGTAGCCTGGCTGCCGCCAGAGCAACTCAGGGGTGTTATCTTTTTGGCTGAGCCTCATTGCTCAGCCTGCCAGGCAGTGCCCTGGCACAACACAGCAGCTTAGCTTGCCTGTGAAGAGGAGATCTCCATCCAGCTGAGCTGCTGCTGGCTCTGCCTACACACCATGGCATATGCTGAGAGAAAGCTGCAAAAGCCCCCATAGCAAAAATCAGGAGGAAAGAATAGAAACAGGCAGTAGGCAAGGAACAAAGGCCTGCTGTGGCGGTGGCACAGCATTTATTGCCTAGGGAAAGAAGAGATTTCTACAGACAGATTAACAAATGTGATACAACTCAGTCTGGGTCTGGCCATGCAATTAAAGGCTGGACTGTGGTAGAAAGGTGATGAGGAAAGAAGGAAACACCAACAGACGTGACCAAATAGGAATTTAGAAAAAGAAATAGGTACAGTCTATCATCAGCCAGATATTTAGCTTTCGACACTTGAGTTACATGTTCTAGCTATTCTAATGAACTGGAGTAAAGAAGTTAAGGGGTTTAAAGGAAGGCTAAACAGTAAGATTCAAATGATACAATTTATTATCTTGTTTACGTGAATTAACAAATCATGAAGAAAGACAAAAACATAGAAGCATTTCTCCAGAGGTTCACACCCTGTGTGAGTCAGAGAACTGAGTTAACGTGCTTAAGAACAGAGGGATGATGTGAAACATTCCCCCATGAACACATTCTTCCTCCTTTTTTCTGGGTGGGATTATTGGAAGTGCTTTTCATCTACAGGTTTTAATTACTTTACAGTCAATGAAATTTCTACCCACCCAAAGTTGTGGAAATCAAGAGGCCAAGAAATTAAGCAATTGGGTCTCAGCCACGTAGCCTGTCATGGAACTGATGGGAACTGATCTTCACAGATATCCCAACCTGTGGGCCTACTCGTTTTGCAGTGATGTTCTAAGTAGGGTTCTTCCCTGTATTTATCACTGAAAATGCTTTCATTGCACTTCTAGTGCCTTGACACTGTCACGGCACAAATGTTGAGGAGGGACACCAGCAGTGGGAAATATTAGAGAAAAACAGGAGAGGAAATGGGGCTGATAAAATAGTTCCTTTATATTGGAACAAAATGGCAGCTAATGATCATCTCACTGCATTTCTGGGCATAGAGGAAAGTCATCAGAAATAAAATCTCCTCCATGCATTCACCAGAAGTGCCCCCCAAGGGGAAGAACACCTCTGTCTTTCTCTCTCATTCCTCATTTTATGTCCTTCACGTGACATATGGAGAAATGAAGATGAAAGAGAAGATAACAATGGTATGAAGAAATGGAAAGCAGCTATGCAGATGTTAATAAAGACAATATGATATTCTCAGAGGCTCCATCCATTTTTCAGTTTCAGATTCTCCAGAGTGACTGTTTCTCTGCTTTCCAGTCCAGAGCAGCCAAAAGGAAAGTGATGGCTTAGTAGAACTCAGTAGCTATGTTTATTGCTCCACCTCTTCCATGGCTCAGTAGTGGTAGTGATGGCTGTGACATCCAGCCTGAACAGGGGCTTGCTTAAGTGTTTTGAAAGCTTCTTCTTTTATCCCCGCTTACAAGTGTTGCTGTAATGAAAGAGAATACTTTGTAGGATCAGCCTCACTTCTCTGCATAACATGGGGGACTTTTTTCCCAACAGAACCCAAGGGAAGCAGTGGAGGTGGCGGTGGCTTTGGAGGAGGTGGCAGTGGCAGTGGTGGGGGTTTTGGTGCTGGCAGCGGTGGTGGCGGCTTCAGTGGTGGTGGACCACCTGGCCTAGGAGGCCTTTTTCAAGCAGGAATGCCAAAGCTCAGATCTGCTGCGAGTCGAGATGCTGGTAAGAAAGATCTTGCAATTTCAGTGCAAACAAGTTACACGACACATTATTTACATTAATTACAAACCGCAGCAATAAATTACCTGCTGGGATTGAGAATGTCTTCAGACATCTTAGGCTATCAAGAAATGAAATTTTCGTCTTGAATCTTGTTTTATTCTTAATGGTAGGATTTATGAAGGGGAAGTGAGACCCCTCTTTCCACTCCTTCTCCCAGTTATTGGTGAAAACTAAAGATCTTGGCAGTGTTGAGTGGCTGCCTGCAAAGTAGAGTGAGGTCCTCCTTAGCTGTGGATGTGCAGGACCAGAGGGGAGACAATAGGATTCTGGATTATTTCTCCCTTCTGTACCAGAAAAAAAGATCAACTTTCCATTTGGAAAGTACATCTGCGTCAGCTCCTCAAGAGTGTGATTTACCACGTAGGGTAAAGGAGGCATCCCAGCTGGCTGCTGCATGTGCTGCGCTTGGAGGGCACACTCTGTGTTCTTCTAGCTGGCTAAACAGCTGCCCAGAGCCCCATGCCCCTTCAAACAAAGGAGATCTGCAACTCCTGAGTTTCCTAAAGCTAAGGATGTAGCATTTCACACAGGAGGACTGGACAACAGGGGTCATAAAATATTATGAGTCCTGCATATTTTATGGACTAATGTAATTTTTCAGCCCATTTGTACAAAACAGTCTCTTGGAGCTAGTATTTTCTATTGTGTCATAGTCTATTTTGGGAACATGTATTAATGCAAAAGTTCCTGGCACAACAGGACAGTGTTTCTTCAACTGCAAGGCTGTCTGCCTTCTTGCTGACATACACAAGTACATAAGTAGCTCACAAATATTAGAAAGGGCTGCAAAGCCCTTTTGCTGGACAGCAGTTGTTAAGTTGCTAAATAGTTAAATTGTCAATGCTACAGCTCCTTTTGCTTTTGAGTTGCTGGTATCAAATACTTGTTCTTCACCAGTTCTTTTCTTCCCTCCCAATGTTACTGCTTGCTCCATGAGGGCTGTATACTTTCGTTGCCTTGCAGTCACTTGAACCCCACAGACCATTCCTCTTGAGCTGGAAGGACCTAGCTGCTGTGATACAGATCCCAAATAGCACTGAGATTTGCTGCCAGCTGTTCTGCAGAGCGTCCCCGAACATTTGGGCAGCTGTGTCCCAGCGCAGTGTTGCTATGTGAGGAGGGCCCTCTCTGGTTGCTGATGCCTTCTCCCTGTCTCTCTTCTTCCTGCCCAGATGCTGGGGCAGCCCGCCCACCCGCACTGCCGCCTGGAGCCCGCTCTGCAGCTGCCAAGCCATTCTCAGCACCGAGCGGCCCACCTCGCTTCCCAGGGCCACCGCTGGGGCAGCGGAGCCCAGCTGCTGACCCACAAAGGAGCCGCCTGCCGCCACCCAGGCCCGATGTGGGTTCTAAGCCTGATGCCACACCGCCACCGGTGCCCAGCACGCCCCGGCCCATTGCCTCCAATCTGCACAGCCGAGGTTCGACGCCAGTGCCTGTCCTCAACCGCCAGCCCAGCCTGGGGCCGACGCCACCGCCATTCCCGGGCAGCCGAGGCGCAGGGTCAGCTGGCTCCCTGCGGCAGCCCAGCCCAGGCCCAGCAGCCCCCTACTCGGGCAGACCACCACTGCCACCCACACCCGGCCGCTCACCAGTGGATGAGAAGCCGCCGCCGCCGCCACCTCCTTCTGGGCACCGGCCACCTGCCAGCCGGGACATGGCCCTGCCGCCGCCACCACCGCAGAACAACAAGCCGCCCGTGCCCGCTTCACCGCGGCCACCCCTCGGAGTTCCTGCGCCCCCGCCACCCCCCAGCAGGCCAGGGCCGCCCCCCGTGCCCCCTGGTCCCGCCAGCAGTGATGAAATGCCACGACTGCCCCAGAGGAACCTGTCCCTGGTGCCCCCTGCTGCGCCCAGCTCTGGGGGCGGCCGCTCCGGACCTTTGCCACCACCGCCCAGCGAGAGGCCCCCTCCGCCCATCAGGGATCCCCCCAGCCGAGCAGGTAGGGGCTGGGGCATGGTGCTGTTGGGCACAAGGGATCCTGCAGTTGAAAAATGAAGGCTTGTGGGCACCACCATAGCTCAAATGACGTTACTGTGCATTCCCAACTAACTCACAGATCTAGGTTTTGTGTAGTTGTGTAGGGCAGGTTTTGCGTAGTTGCTGTAACAAGAAGGAGCTGCCCACCAAATCCTTTACCAACAGGGACCTGTTTTACCCAGCTGCCGTGAAGTGACAATATTCACCTTCCTGAGTCAGCCAGTGTGAGTTAATGGTAGTGTTGTCATGAATGGAAAGCCCGGCCTCCTACGTGTTGGAAGGCACAAACACAACAAAATACAAATTACTTTAATAGAAGGCCGATCCGACAGTTGTTAAACAGGAGGCAGTTGCTGCAGTGTGACTAACTGTCATTACCTGCTAGACACAGATTCAGGATGAGACTGAAAGTAGCGTTGTCTCCATCAGGTTATTTCATCACATGTTTTGTCCTCTGACAACCACTGTAACTTTTAAGAGTTGCTCCTCGTGTGCCTGATGCTTGTGGAGCTGGAGGAGCTGGGGCACAAATGGGCCCCATAACACAAGGAAGCTGCATCTCAGTGCACTCACAGAGGCTTGGCACATGGCTGCCTGGCTGCAGGAGTTGTCTCACGTTTGTTGGGGAGCACAGAGCAGTTCTGCAGAGTACAGCTGTGACTTTGGACACTGCAGGAACTTCTCCTGTGACAACCTCTGCTTCCACAGGAGATTCCTGTTTAGCTCTTTTCTGATGCAGATTTTAGTAAATGTACACTGCCTTTCTGCTGAGTCAATGAGCAGAAGGAAGCTAGAGATATAAATTATAAATGTAAATACTGTTCTGCAATGGTTTGAGGTAGATGATGGGTTTTAATAAGGTTTAGGGAGAGAAACCATTCTGGTTTTCTAGTATGTGTCTGTAACTAGATTTCATCAGAACAAGGAAGCATTTAGGAAAATGAACATAATTGTCAATTGCCCAACTGTACTAAGCAGAGGTGCTGAGACCTTTGGCCGTGTGCAGCCCTCCACGCCCTCTGCGTGGCCTCCTCCTGTCCAAGCTGTAGTTTCCTCTCCTGTCCCAGTTTACTGCTGCTCAGGGAACGTCACTTTCCCACCCTGTGTGGGCTGTGCATTCACGTTGCCATGCAGAGCTTTTCTGCTTCACTGTGAAGACACATGGGGAGTTGGTGGGGTATGGGCTGGATCCCCACTCTACAAAGTTCCTGCTATAACTGCTCATTGAGGAAAATGTGATTTAGAGTGGTTTGAAATTGGCTTCAAGGGCCAGCACCTCTACAGAGTGACTGCAGCTGAGGAAGGCAGGAATATGGGTGCTGAGGTGTATTTGTGTTTGGGTATACCTGCTCCTCTGACCTCTGCAGGCTGTGGGCTCCCCATCAAACCCAGGGAGCAGGGAGGTGGGGTCTGCTCTTCCCAGGGACCCTGGCCTGTATTCTGTTAGTGAGAGGCCATGGGACACGGGCAGCAGTGTGCCACTACAGCACAATAAGGGACAAACAGCGTTTTTGTGCTTGTCTCTATTCTCTCTTCAGGCCCCCTGCCACCACCACCTCCCATCAGCAGGAATGGAAGCACCTCAAGGGCTTTACCTGCTGCTCCCCAGCTGCCTTCCCGGGCTGGGTTGGAGAACCAGAGAGGTGGGCCCCGACCACCGCTTCCCCCAGATCGGCCGGGGACAAGCGCACCACCACCACCACCGCCGCCTTCATCAGCACTCCGGAACGGCTTCCAGGACTCAGGCGATGGTAAGCTGTGCTCCCAGCTACTTGCCCTCATAGAAATTGTGTAGCTGCTTTTGACCTTAACGTGGAAAAAAGTGTGGGGTAAAGGATAGAACAGAACTGCAGAGCTGTCAATATAGGCTTAAAAACAACCCTTTGAAATATAGTCTGAAAAAGAATAACAATAAAAGAAAAAAGAAACGCTTCTCCGTACTTAGCTTTGCTACAGTGCATAAAGAAGTCCTAAGGGGATTGTTCTGGCTGCAATGTGAATTCAAGCCATAGCTACACTAGAACTCCTTGTAAGTCAGAACAAGTTAGATGATGACTCAAAAACTGAAAGCTGAAAGACAGAGGAGGGAAGAGGTTGTCAGAACACTGCTGAAGATGTCAAGTTTCTCTCTCCTTGCTGATGTTTCTTGAAAAGGTGAGATTCAAGATAGCTGAGTTTTAAAGATTCATTATGCTTTTCTTTTGAGTTGTCATTTACAAAGGATAGATGCATCTTTTGGCTAATTATGGATGGCTATGGAAGTTGATATTTCTGACATTTATGAGGAAAAGCAAGCGGAAAATTAAACTGTAACTCACACTTTTGAATCATCTTTGCACTTCAGATAAGGCAGATGGGTTTCAAATGTATTTTTTTTCCCTGAGTGGTTTGCAGGTTCAGAACCTGGTTTCTAATTGTAACCATGGGAATAAACATATTAAAACTCAGTCCCGGTAAATAACCTAATAGGATGCTGGTTCAGTATTCAGCTATCAAAGCATTTTGCAATAGAAAACATGTAAGAAATTCAGTATTAGAATCAGTTGATTTTTCTGAAGCTGTATCACACAACCAACCAGTAAAATGCATCTTGTTCTGTTTTGTTGTTGTTGTTCTTTCAGATGAGTGGGAAAGCAGATTTTCTTTTCATCCTATATCTGATTTGCCACCTCCAGAGCCATATGTACCTGTGAATAGAAGTTATCCCAGTAAACTAGCAAGAAATGAAAACCGAGGTAAGTTTGTTCCACCTCTAGTGTTGGGATTTCAACATATCTTTCTAGAAAGTGTGAATGGGGAAGAGATTGGCTCCTGAAGTTTCAGAGCTTCTCCAACATCTTGTTTTCTTCTCTCCACCACACAGAAAGCACTAAATACAGGTTTGCAGGCACAAGCCCTTTTAAACTTGTACTACGGAGTGGGATGGGTGCAGTATTGTTTTCTTCCTAAGTTGTAACCTGTATTGTAAGATACCATTTTGGCCATAATATTCTGCTACAGGCAGACAGAGATGCAAAATCCCAGCTTTGCCTTCTGATTTTTGTTTGTCTGGTTTTGTCCCTGTTACTCCTCTTGGAACTCTCTTCTGTGACTTCTTTCTCATTCCTCGTCTAAATCTATGCATGACTCATTTATTTGTGTGCCAAAATCATCCTTGAGTTTTAGTTATTCTCCCTTGTTGGTGCATTAAACCCCTGCTTTTTTGTTTGTTTGTTTTTTTAGGACAAGTTGTGCTCCTCTCTCAACTTTTAGTTTGCTGAGGTCATTATATCAGGATGTATTACACTCTTCCTCCAAGCTAAATTCTGTTTCTCTGATCACTGATATTGCTGCTGTATACATTTCAGCTTGATTTCATCTTTTTTGATCAGTGTTACATGCTGTTCCAGTTGAGTCTCAGGCATTCCATTAGTTAGCACCATTTGGCCTGGTACACCCAAGGATTAATTCACTTCTTTCACAATAGGTCACATCAGTGCTCATAGTTATCCTGTAATCATCTGTACACTCACATGTTTCTCTGTCTGTCCTGTTTCCAAATTATGAGGCTTTGGTGTGGAGCAGAAATTCCTGTTAGTCTCTGGCTCTTACCTTTCTTCCCATTCCTATTACTCCACAAAGAGAGTCAAAGAAATCAGTTTTGAATGAAAATCTTTATTTGGGGAAATATATGAAGAGCTCTGAAACATTACTTCTAGAGCTTGCTGCTTTCATTGACACGTGTTGCAAGTAGCACTGAGACCACATGTGTTTATGTAGTAAGAGTGACTGACCTGCTGACTTTGAAAAGGGAGCAAAGGACTGAAATGCTAGTAGTTCCTAGGCATTTGGAGATAACAGTAGTTACAAACTGAAGTTAACATTGTTTGAAGTTCTTGCATTGTTGAGTAAACTAACCAGAAACTGGAAAGATATTTTCTAAATGGTTAGACAAGGAAATGAGTAGATCTTCTGGCTTGGATGCAAACTCCCACTATAAAAAGTAACGGAAAACTTTCTTCTTTTTTCAGGAGGCTCTGGTCGAAAAGAAAGAGGTGTCCCCCCTCTTCCCCCTATACCAAGGTGAAGTGGGTTCTGGCCCTTTTTTGGGCGACATCTGTTTTACGAGGTTTCCTTCAAGTCAGCTCTCCTGTCCACGTTGTTGGAAAGTTGTCTGTTTTGCTCTGTTTCCACTTTTGGCTTGTCAGCTGGAATAAACTTCAGTCTATTACAAAAGTAATAGACAAAGCTTATGAACTATAGTTGCTCAAAGCTATAAATTTTGTTCGCTTATACTGCAGGCTGTCCTGAAAGGCATTTTATGGACCATGCCTGACATACATGCATCATGCTTACCGGGTCCAGCCCTGTCCTCTTGAGAGTTCCACAGAGGTCTGGCTTTGAATTTAATGAGAGCTAGAACAAAGCTGTTTCATTCATGTGGGGTACAGTGGCTGTATTATTTGATCAATCAAATACAATCTGTTTGCTGTTTATAAACCAACTGCCAGGGAATACTGTATAGCTGAGAATCCCCTGGAGCCTTCTTTGTTTGCCTGACCTGGTCCATCTGCTTCTGCGAGCCATACTCCTACTACATGGGAACCAAAAGTTTATCTTAAATCTTTTCACCTCAGCTTAGTCAAGTAATTTTGTAATTTTCTATACAATAGATAGCACGTCCTGTCCTGAGGATGGAGTGTGTCTGGCCTTATTTTCATCTGCAGAGAATCTTCCAAAAAAGAGCACAAGTGAAGAATTTGGCAGCACAAAAATATCTTTTTTCACACCTTTTTTCCTTGTTTTGTAATAACATTACAGTTTTAATCACTTTGTGCTTTTCTACTTTGATGTGGACTATCCTACAGTCATCCGTGTCCTGGATTATTGCAGCGCACTCTTCCTGAGACTACCTGCAGAGAATTCTTCAAAAGTAGTCTTAGTGGAAATGCAGCAGTTATTGTAATTTTTCTTTCTGTAAAACATTTCTAACACCAGTGCTCCACAGACTGCTTTCCATTTGTTTCTTTGGTACAATTAAATGATGGGTTTTTAATTTAAAAAATTTCCTGAGGCTCGAGTGACAGTCTCAGAGAGATTGTAGCTGACTCATGTAACAGCAGAGCAGCTGAGGTCAAAAATGTGCATAGGTGGAAGCTCTTTGATGTCATGAAGGAGGTCTGGGGTTAGTGTGTTCAAGTGGGAGCACGAGCTCCAAAATTTGCTATCTGCACTGGTTCAAGAGGATGGGAAGATTTGGCCTTCTGAGTTTACCATGAAGCCTGTTCTTTCAACCTCCACTGAAGGACGCCTCAGCAGAGAGCCGTGAGACTTATGCTGATAGAAGAAAGAGAAAAGTATTCTGACGTTGTGACAATCAGTTTGTATGTTTAATGGCTTTTGAATTTTGTGTTTGAGAAAAGAGTTCATCGAATGATCGTGTTTTGTAAAAGGATCCAAATGCATGTAAAATGCCTTTGAAAATTTGAGGAAGGTTTTAATTCTGAATTTTTGAATATTGCCAAATCATAGCTCTTTGTTAATTGGACTTCTGAAGTTTAACCCTGAAAAATTTCTCCTCTGTCTCCTCAGCAGCATGCTTCTTGGGACCCCTACAAAGCCTATACCAGCAACCATGTTCACTGGGTAAAAAAAAAAATAAAAAAGTTATGTTAGTTAAGAAGGTGTTTCTCTAGTGTGAGAGACATGAACCTAAGCTGAGGCTAGAATGAAGTTAGCCCTAGAAAATCCAGGGAATGTATCTGAAGAGAGCTTGAACCCCACTGCAGTGTCTGCATGTGGGGCTTCTTGCCTGTCAGTGGGCTTGGAGGGGCAGACTGCCTCTGTCCCACCACTGGGACAGTCACCATGACAAGGCAGAGCTGGGTGCGGCCACATCAACATAACTTCCTGGCCTTCTTGGTATTTGTTTACAAAATCTTGTTAGCTGTGATAGCATTTGATTACATACAGGTTTTTACATTTTTGTATCTAATGACATATTTTCAGTTACTATCTACAGTCTTGAACCTGCAATTGAGTGCGCAGGCGCAGGGATGTATCTACATCAAGTTGCAGGGTCGTGGCTGTTAGAGTTTCTTATAGAAGTATTAATGGGACCTCCATGTGACAGGTGCACCTTGAGATCAAGCCTAGCTCAGTACTGCATTTCTATGTATTTTATGGATGTCACTTAAACGTGTGCACTATGCAAAGTGCCTGTCTCTTTGGCTTATTGTTATGTGAATAGAAGTCCAAATAAGATTTTTAGGATAGTAACTTAAAGGATAAATTATTGTATTCATGTTATTAAACTGAAGCACTTACAACTTTGAGGAGCAACGTTCCGAATTTAAGAATACAATATTTTTGATACATTGACCTGCAAATCTTTAATATCCAAACAGCTATGCAGCCAAAAAAAACTAGAAAAAATAAAATCCAAGAGCTGTACTGTGTCTTGTAACTTACCTGTTTCCAGTATGTCTGTTTTACTTCAAGTAAAATGCTGCAGATTGTTCTGCCATTCCTCTGCATCATTCAGAATATCCCGTATTTGATCTTTTCAGTAAGGTTCGCTGACCAGAAAGTCTGGACCTTAACCAGTGACTTGGCAAGTCAGATTCAGTCTCACTTACAATGGCTGCGTAGAAGGCCCTGTCAACAAGCTGATGAACCCAAGGTGCCTGTTGATTTCATCACTTCCTTGTACTGTAGAAACCTCCTCAGAACAGCTGTTTGGCATATATGTAAAGTACCTTAAAAATGCAGAAAGAGGTATTTTTTCACCTAGCAACAAACTTGACTATTTGTATCTTTTGCAGTAAAATTCCCTAGTATAATCCAGAACAATGCAGCATTTTATCTTCCATATATCGCTTCACATATCAATAGCTTTTTACAGTATGAGCAGTATTAAAGTATTTATTTCACTATGAAGTCTTAAAAAGAAAAAGGATACAGAACAGGTTGATCCAGTGGTGCCTTATGACTTTTTTAGTCAACTTTCTGTGTTTCACAAGACAAATGAAGTCGTCGTTCTTGCGCATCCCAACGTCAACAGCGCTGATAGCAGCGTTGCACAGTGCTGCGCCAAGTTCTGCTGCTGGTGTGTGCTCAGTCTGCTAACTTGAGTGAGCTGAATGTGTGGAGAGGTGTGGGTCAGCTTCCAGTTGAGACATGGTGGCACTGGTGCCATTGCTGGCATTGCTCTGGAAACCTCCCCTTCTCCAGGCAGCCCAGCTGCCTTCAGCATGTTTGCCTGGCGTTAAAGGACTAAGCTGGGTTCGCTGCTTGCATCTGACAGTTACTGATTTTGTTTTAATGACGTTGTCTTAATAACATTCACACCTCAAAGCTTTTTTATGCCGTCACCAAGACTTGCATTGCATGTCAGTGGCCATGAATGTTCATTTTTGTTTAATTTGACAAAGTAAATAAAATGAGAATAACTTTTGTAGTAATTTCTGCTCAGTATTTCTGTAAGGAAACACAAGCTGTCTGCTCTGACTTTGTGCAGCAGCTGCAGGGAGAAAAGGTCCCAGTGATTTGTGTTCAGAGTTGTTGAAGGAAGCTCAGCTTGCGGCGCAGGAAGCATGTATTTCTGTAAATGAACCACTTCTTGAATAAGGTTGCAAGGTTCTCATTGAGAAGCCACCATTTCCCAGCACCAAAAGAGTCATAAAAATTTTTCTTTTCTGCAAGACTGAGCTATTAGGGAAGTTGCTTCAGTTGCCATTTTAGAAGGAGAGCAGCAGTTCATCCTTGCAGCACTGACTGCTTCCATGTCAGTTGTACGAGCAGTTCTCTGCTGGAGAGCAGAGCTGCTGTCGTGGTTCACGTAGTTTGCAAGACAACTTTTTCTGTGCTGGAACACATAAGTAGGAAGGGTGCATTTACCCTTGGATGCAAAAAGTGGAGTTGGATGATCAAAGTGGTGTTGTTTCAAGCAGAATGTTGGCTGCCAGGAGAGGGGAGCTGGGGAGAAGTGTACCCATGGAGGATAAGCCAGTTGGCTGGATGTGGGCACTCGTATGAAAGCACCGAGCCAGGTGTAAGCTGTGTGAGGTTGTGAATGCTGTCTGCCAGTGCACTCAGCCTGTCACTGCGGTACTTCGAGTCTGTACAGTGTGTCTTGGATGAACTTTAACCTTTCTGATTGTACTCACCAGAAAAAAAGGGAGAATCTCTTACTGGAGGTGCTCAGTAAGACACGAAGAGTGGCTCGTGAAAAGCTCTGTATGTCCCTAAGGGAACGCAGGGTTGCTCAGCCTGCCTGGTGGCACTGCTACCAGTTATGAACAGAGCGCTGGAAATGTGGGGAGTGCTGAGGGAAACCGAGAGGGCTGCACGCCCTGGGCAAGGGAGTGGCATGTTGGCGTGCTGACGTTTTGTAATTTGTGATACAAGTTCTGTAGCATAAACTCGTACGTGATAAGAAGGCACTCTAAGTTTGGACTCAAAGTCACACAGGGCTATAAAAGAGAAACATAACTTCCAGTGCAGGCTGAGCAAAAAGTAACACATTTTTTTTTCAGGCGCTTACAGTTGGAACTTTTATAAAATATTAATCGAGTTCTGTGAAATTTTTCTGCTTAACATTTATCTTGTATGTGATTTTTTTTTTTCTCCTTATTTTTCTATCCTATGCCAAATAAATTTTACTTTTATTTACTCGCTGGTGCGGCCTGTTGCATTGAGAACGTGGTGTGAGCCTGCATGGGTGTGTGGCAGCAGTGCAGCTCCTCACCTGCCTGCACCTCGCCTTGGAGCTTTGGGCTTCCACGTGGGGAAGATTAGGTGTCTGCAAGGAAAGAGAAGCCAGAGTTTAGTTTGACGTAAAGAATATTAGATAAGAAGTGTGGGCAGTGATGCTGTGCTTGTACACACACCTTGCTTTAGTTGTCCATTGGTGGGCAAAATCTCTAGGTGCTGGTTCTCAGCTTTGCAAGCCTGACACTTGCTATGAGGAGATTATATGGAAAATGTAGCATTTGGTGTTAACCACAGTTATGTTATCTCCACTCTCTTGCCAAGATGCTTCCAGAGTATATCACATACAAATGAAACCTTTCTTTTGATTTTAGAGCCCTGTTCTTGGTTTTGTACTTCATCTTCTCAGGAGATTTGAACCAGGTTCAACTCAGGAAGACTCTTTGGTAGAAGTCCAAAGAAGGCTCCAATTCAGGCCACAGTTCTGGTGTCTCTTTCAAAATTAGAAAGGTCATTTAAAATCCTGATCTAAAAAGCTCCATGCAGAAACTCACTGACCTCGCCAGGCTTAGCCGTAGGTTCGTTCTTACACAGCTGTGGGTCCTTTGGCAGCCATGAGGACCACTTGTTAGTGTTCCAATTTACAGACTGGCTGGGACAGAGGTTTCTGCGTTCTCCAGAGGCCACAGAAAGCCATGGCTCATCTGTATTCAAAGGTCCACCAGTGCCTGGGCTGTGTGGGTAGCAGGACAACGAAGGGGGTGAAGGCTGTGGGTACATGGGCTGCAGAGGAGCTGGTTCTGCAGGCTGAACTTGGCTGCAGCAGTCCTGAACCAGGACCCAAAGGTATGAACCCAAGGGTCAGCTAGCAGGACCACCTCTTCTGGGTTCAGTCAAAGGAAACATGCCTCTTTCTGGGTTTTGCTTGATTTTGGGAAGAAGGAACTGAACTGAGCCATAACGCAGCACAGACCTTCCTCCATTTAACTCAAAAAAGAACACTGTTGCTTTTAAAAGAAAACAAAAACAAACAAAACAAAAACCAGTATACTTTTAATGCTTGTAAATGCTCTCCAGTTGCAGGAAGGATCAAGCACTGGCTCAGCATCTCCCACAGCCATCCTGCCCTGTTACAGTTTGGCTGCACTGTGCATTGCTATTAGCAAATTGGTCCTGGCCAATCCATTATCAGTTTAGATGTTAAACGTTGCTCCAAACGTGTATACAACAATTATGTATTTTTTAGGTTAGCTAACAAAACAGAACCCTCCAGGGTTGGGTTTTCTCTGTCTGATAGCCATTATAACAAGTGGTTCCTAACAGCTGCTTCAGCTATGGTACAGTTCTCTGAAAAGCAACCAAATATGTAACATGTTTTGAGCTTCATACCAAGATGTTTCATTTTCAGTTGCACTCTTAGAGTGCCTATGAATGTTATTTTGTATATAATGAAACTGCTGTACACTGTTAAGTGAGCTTATCCTTCAACTTGTCAGGACACTGTAACCCTCCGGAGAAGTTCTGCTTGCTCTGCCGAACTGAGAGGGGTTGGTGCATAGGCACCCTTACCAGCTTTAAAGCTGAAGAAGTTATTTTGTTATAAACCAAGCTGTTTCTCCCCAGGGCATTCTATGCTGTCTGCAAACAGCTGTGCCTATGCTCCCCTCCCTCTTGCAGAGATGTCACAAGAAACATTTTGCGGAGCAGATAGGGGCATCGGAAACCTTTTCTGTACCTTGTTGCTTATTACGCCTTTGTGGTATCTGTGCAGCTCGTTCTGTGAGCTTCTCCACACATAACATGCAGATCTTTAACTTTGATGAAACATAAAAGCAATAGAATAGCACTTTGTCTCCGGACGGTAGATTTTGCAGTGATACAAATAGTTTCTGTTACTGATGTGGATCAGTAAAAGCCTTTCAGCACAGAGATTGTACCCACCAACACATGTACAGATCTAAAAGACACCATGGGGCAGCGCGTGCTGTAGGAGGATGGAGAAGTTTGTTGGTGCTTAACTCTGTGACATGCCCCTCATCTTTCTGTAACCACTGAAAGAAATCAGTAGCGCTGCACAGTATCTCAGGAGGTGTTTATTTGGTAACCCCCTCCCATCATCTGTCTGGTGTTCAGGATGCCCTCTAGCACAACCTTCCTTGGTCCAGTCAGCAGCAGCATGGCTGTGTTGGTGCACTCTCTAGCAGCCCCATGCTGTGCAACCCTTTCATGACTTCCCCCAATGGAGGCCAAACACTTCTTGTCTGCCTTACAGCCCCACAGGCCGTGAGGAAGCAGCTTGATTGGATAGGAAATGTGACAGCTGTGTGAATCCTTCAGCTCTGACAGAGCGTGAGTTCCTTCCTAATGAATGGAGAAATAGATCTGCATTTTTCAAATTAAAAAAAAAAAAAAAAAAAAAAAAAAAAAAAAAAAAAAAGCAACAAGTTTATTCTGTTTTTTTCATAGCTGATGATAACATATTTAAATGTTAATTTTTTGATGCCTAAGGCTATTTATTTCAACAGAGCTAGTGGACAGTCTTTTGGAACAGTTATGGTCCTGTAATCTTTTCTTCCTGTATTCACAGTGAGGCTCATAACATACTACATTTCAGCGGCAGCCCAGGTGCGGAGGTGCTCTTGAGGAATGGATGACTACCATGAAGACAGTTGGATTAGATCAGCAAACATGTTCTGTGGCTGCTGCCAATGCTGCCCATGTGCACTATCAGTGTCTACTGAACAAAAACATCTCAATGGAGAGACAGACAGTGGTACTTCAGAGAAGCAGTAGGTAACTGCTACTTCAATTTTAAAACACATATGTGGCTTAAGATAGAGCTTCTGCAGAAGCTACATAACAAATCTAAATCAGAAACCTGTCACAAAGGCTGTCTATGTAGCAATCACACCTTCTACTCCACATTACAACATGTCACTTTTTAATTTTCATGTTTTTCTCTCTGTTTAGGCCATTCTTTATTTTTCTTCCTCAAAAAGAAGTTACTTTTCAGGCTTGCTGAGTTATAAGCTGCCTAAATGCCTTCCTCAATTGGAATATGGAACAGTTCCTTTTTTTTTTTTTTTTTTCTCTTTCCTTTTCTTTTTTGTCAAGAGTGCAGCAGATTAGCAAAGAGTTGTCTGCCAGCAGCCCCTGAGATCAGGGCAGAGGCAGGGGCTGTGGTAACAGCGCTCCTTGCTGCTGATTCCCTCACTGCAACAGGGACCGCTGCTGCTCCTTGCAGCCAGGCCACAACTCATCACTGTAAGGCAAAAGTGTTCTGTCTGTGGGACCACGGACCTCCTGATTGAGCATTGTGGTCGCACAAGGACGAGTGTTTACTGTTATCATTCTCTCCATTTCAAATAGCAGCTTTCACTTCCCCTCCTTGCCAGTAGCTTGGGCTTTTTCTGAAAGCTGGGGACGTGCTGCTGGTGTCCTTTAGATACACTGTGGTCTCAGCTGTGCTGCAGGGCTGCTGCTGTGCCTTCATCTATCTACTTTCCAAATGGGTTCTTGGTTTTTGTTATGTTGATTTTACAGGTGTGTGCTGTGAGGAAATGCCCACACACTTGTCTGCAGGCTCATTCTCCCCACACACTGCTGGACACTGGTATAGTAGTGGTGAAAACTGCAGACGTGTTTCTTCCAAGCTGCAAACAACTACTGATACAAGTGCAAGTGCATGATATAATGAACAATCTTCTCCATGAGTGTTTGGTTTGGCAGCAGGCAGGTGGGCCAGGCGAGCAGTTTCCCCACACTGAAAACTACTCAGCTCAGTGCAGGAGCCATGCTGCCTGCTGAGTGCTGTGCCCCGGGCAGCCCGGGCTATGTGCCTTATGGAAGGGCATGCTGCACAGCAAGGTGACAGCAAGGATGTTCCCTGCCGTCCTTACCAGGGCGTTTCACCTTGCTTTTCCCCCAGCTCCTCCCTTCCCCGTGCCTCGCAGCCGGTGGCCAAGCCGGCGCTAGGTGGCACTTCGCGCTTGGCCTAAATTTCTCTCTTTGCAGAGAGCGGCTTTAACAACAACGCCAGAACTCGAGTGTTGTGTCAGTGAGAGTCGTTTTGCCTCCGCCACCCTGCCGGGAGCACGAGTAACTCCCAGCTCGCAATCTGTGCTCCTGTCGTGTTGCTGTTGGGAATGTGATTGCGTGCTCTGTGCTGTGGTCCATCACTTCAGGAGCACCATGAGCTTTGTGACTGCTGGGAAGGAGTTCACTCGGGACGTATACAGCCTCATTCTCCCGCGTGATTACACAACTCTTAGGCAAGTAAAATGCCAGTATTGGCATAAAAATGATGCAAGAGAACAACATGTGTGACTCTGCCCTGTTTCAATTTAACCTGAAAATGGCATGCTATTAGGGCCAAACTAAGAATTCGCCTGCAGCTGGAGAAGGAGTTAAGGATAAGCACCGAATACCTTTTGTTTGTTAATAGAGTCAAATGGCAATAGCACATAGTTGTATGGAAGCCATCCTGACAATATTCCAGCATTAAAATAAGAATTTGCCCAAATATTTAAGAGAAGAAATTCCTTCTCATTGTGAGCCAGAGAAATAGAAAACAGTCAGAATGAGATCCGCACAAGCGTAGGAATGAAATGCTGGCCACAAAGCTAAAAGAAATGACAAACTGCTGAATGCAATCTGGAAAAGATATAGGGGAGAATCTACAGATTACAGAAAGAGAAGTATGAAAACAGAGCAGGGAGAAAAATATCTGCAGTAGCTGAAGAGCTCAGCAAGGAGAGGGCTTACCTGTCACAGCTTGTGACAGGGGATCAGGTAAGGGAAAATGGTGTGGCAGAGATGAAATAGAGATGAAATAAGAGAACAAACTGTTGGGTTTCTATCAAGGAATATAACGCACTACATTCAATACGTATTTTTGGATAATGTTTAAACTATGTTTGTACAGATGCTTATACAGGTGGGATATGGTGTGATCACAAGTGGGAACTCAGTAAGTGCAGAACATTTTACAGAAGCTTGGGTCATATTCTTCACATATCTCCAGAGCTCCCCCTTTGTGTTGCAGCAGTCAGTTTTGATTCCTTTCACCTGCCAAAACAATCACTCACCGAATAAGAAACAGGTGCAGCAGATTCCATATCAGAAAGAGCTTATTTGTTCAGAGCATCCTGCTTTAACAGGTTCCTGAGCAAATCAGTATTTACACTTGCTCACTTGCTTGTGTATATGTGGAGAACTGTTTTATTATTGTTGTTATTTTTGTTCTTCATAAGAGTTAGGATGAACCTGTATGGTGTGACTGAGAATGCATTACAGGCTGCACACATCCAAAGAAGTGTGTGAGTATTCTCAGATCAAATAGGACCGTAGCTCTTACATCATATTTTTAATTATTTCATCACCTACTGTTAACATTGTGAATGTATAGAATTGTAAAATATACTGTAAGATTCTGTGCATGGCAGGCATGTTTTTAACTAGTATGTGAGACAAATGAACAAGACTTGATAATTATCTTCCATGTAAAGCACTCAAAAACACTATGTTAAAGTGGTGGTTTGTTTGTTCGTTCGCTATGTGATATTCTTGTTGTTATTTTTCTTCAGCCTGGGTGATTAACTTGTAAGTTCCTCTGTGACTGAGTCAGTCTCCAAGGTGATATACCAGAGACCAAATGTATGCATGCAGAATCTTCCACTTCAATGGGAGACACAGCAATGCTGCTATTTTGGAAGAAATCAGCTAGAGCTATTCTGAATTCCATTGAATTCAATGCAGTATAATTTGAACTTTTATTTCTCGCTTTTTGCTTTAATGAGGTGAATGTCACTTTACAGCATTTATTTTGCTTACTGACAAGGTTCAGTTCCTTTCACCAGGCTTAAACATGCGTACACATTGCTGAAGATTTGGGTTGATGTTCTGCAAGCTGGCTGTTAGCTCTTTTTATTGTCTTTTGTCAGGTGCAGTGTTGGGAAGGGTACGATTGCACCCATAGGTATTTGAAGTGCCAGTAACAGGTGCCCATGTCTCAGCTGCAGGACCGTGGGATGTGAGCAAGGTACAGCAGAGGTGGGCTTTGCAACACCAATCCCAATGCACACATAGCCACACAAGAATACCACTTGTGTAAACTTTCCTAAGCAGAGCAGATGAGAAAAGATACTGCTGCACAACCATAGATGAGTGAATAAATAAGTATCTGAAGGAGGAATAATGTTATGCAAGGATTCCTTTGTGTACAAATGGGACTGTCAACATTCTGTTGACACCCTCCTCTCTTCTATGGTGGCCAGCTTCAGGCTTACAGGCAGCAGTGCTTGGCACAGTGCTCTTTAGGTCTCAGCATCAGAATGTTCCCAGGACCATGGAGACTGGGATTGTCAAGTGTCAGAAGTGAGGGAAATTCTCCTCCAGAAGGCTGTTAACCGATTTCCCCCTGACCCACTCCCCCCTCTTCCCAGAGAAGAAATCCTGGGGCCTGTTGTCTTTCTATGAATACATTTTTCTTGGCTTGCCTTTGATGCTTAACTACTTCTCCAGACACATGTACGATGTAAGCTATCATTTATTTTGCAGTAGCTGTGTGAGACAGTGCAAGTGATCAGATGATCTCGGTATGGATAAGTTTTGAGTTGTTACTGAGAATGTCCTAAGAACAGCTGCAAGAGGACAGATGCTTGAAAACAGCAAACTGAGCCCTGAACTAGTGCGCTATCTGTGGGCATACCGCCAATTTTCACATAAAATTTGGCTTGTTCTCAATATCCAGAGCATTGAGGAAGTATTTTTCCTGTAATTCAATATAGGAAGATTACATAAGAAGTGTTTGCCTCTCCACCCATTGTTATAATTGCTTTGTTAGTAAGATGCCCAGATTTTCCATGCTGTTGCAAACTAGGTGCACAGCTGTCTGGAAATGACACAGAGATTGTACTTGTAGATTTGTAGATACATTGCATCCTGATTCATTTGCATTTACCAGCATTCTTTCTATCTTCTACCTTCTGTAATCATATCTATTCTTGGTAAAGTCACTTTCTGGGCAATACTTGCCTAGCAGTTATTTAGAGATGCTGGTTCTAAATTTTCAGTTGAGAGTGCTGCTTTGAAGCTTCCTCATGTAAGATGGATTTTTTTACTTATCACCACCCCCTTGCAATTTGGGTCCAGGTTCTATTTGTGCTCTCTCTTTCTAGAAAGGAAAAAGAAGAAGAAGAAGAAGAAGAAGAAAAAAAAAAAAAAAAAAAAAAAGACTTCAGTGTTTTCAGAAATAAACTGGCAAAATGCAATTGCTTACAATAAATCCCTGAGGGCTTTTCTTTAAAGTATTCCAGCAGTCTTTTCAGCTTTGAAACAAGTGCTTGGGATTTACCCAAGTAGCCTTTGCATCAAGTACGAAGATACATTTCTGGTCCCCTGAAAATCTGCCTAAATTGGCTCAGAATTGTGTGTCTTTGAAAGTATGTCTGCATGTGGTCACTGGTGGTCCTTAAAGCTAAATTACCTTAAGCACGCTGTCACAGAGAAGGCTAAGCTTCCTGCATAGTGTGGGTCCAGACATGTTATTGTCTGAGGGCAGTGCCTCCGATGAAGGCTTCAGGCCAGCAGGGAGACATGCCTAGTGGCTGCTCCTGGCTGCTTCTCGCTGCTGGGGCTGCTGCCCAGGTCAAAAAGCAGGTACTACTTTTTCCATTCAAAATGAGTTCACTGCTTTAATGGCCTGTAAGTGGATGGGAACATCTGATTGAGGTGAAGGCAGAACAAAAAACAAGGGGAAAACATTTTGTGGCTATGTAAGGTGTGGTTTGGGAATGCTGACAGGATCAAATGTAGATTTTGGGGACAGCTTTCAGTCTTAAATTTACTTTTACAGTTAATGGAAAACCTGGTTTTGCATCCCTGGGATACAGAATCCTCTTTGTTGTCCTTAGTTTACAAATGCCTTGATAAGAAGAGAGAGGCTGAGGGAACTGGGATCATTCAGTTTGGAGAAGAGGAAGCTCAGGGGAAACCTTGTTGCTCTCCACAATGACCTGAAAGGAGGTTGTGGCAAGGTGGGAATCAGCTGCTTCTCCAGCTGACAGTGATAGGATGAGAGGGAATGGCCTTAAGTTGCACCAGAGAGGTTCAGACAGGGTATTAGGAAAAATTTCCTCTCAGAAAGAGTGGTGAGGAATCAGAACAGGCAGCCCGGAGGCTGTCCTGGAGTCACCGTCCCTAGAGGTGCTTAAGGAAAGGACAGATGTAGTTTGTAGGGACAACAAACTTGGTTTAGTGGGCAATATTGGTAGTAAGTGGGTAATTGGACCAGATGATCTCAGAGGTCTTTTCCAGCCTAAATGATTTTATGATTATAAACTCAAGCTGTTAGAATGAGACTCCACTCAAATCAAAGCTATATTTGAGGGCAGGGGAGAACACGTGGCTCAAATAAAAAGTTGATTAGGCATTGGAGGAGTGGAAAGAGGGTGCTGAACAAACAAGGCAGTGTCCTCTGCTGTTCTATAGTTGTTTTTTATTGGTGGTGTTTGTTTGTTTTTCATCTCATCACGTTCCTTGGGTATTACAATACAATTGCGTGTGTCCATTCCTCAGTGTTCTCCAGGGGAAACTGCCAGACTCAGGTAAAGTGCACTTTCCTGGTCTGCAGTGTGTATGTGGCCACCGAGATGGAAACAGCCCAGCTTCCCGTTACTGCTCATGCCCTAGAGAAAAATCATGCTTGCTTGCTGATGGGTATTACCTGCAATCAGTGAGCAGCCTATTCAGCCAAACAAAAAGTACTGAAGTGTAATCATAATTTAAATACTTTATTAAATGTTGAATTGTTAGTGACCTTTTAAAAGGAGGAGATTGGGAAGTATAATTTCTTAACATGACTCTTTATTGCAGTCTGGCAAGCCTTCCTTGCTTCTTCCCAAAGCTTGTCCCTCCAAGGCATGCTATTTCTACAGGGACAAGTGCCAGGCAGAAAGCCAAAAAATCTGAAAGATCCCTTTATACTTTGTACTTCCAAGAACTAATCCAAATCCATTTGAGTGGTCTTTGTATGGTGATAGAAAAATTTAACAATAAATTAATTAATAAAAGTGTCTCCCTGAACAATGTTTGCCCCAAGAACTCTCAACCTGAAGTTATGGAGGTAGATGTTACCCAAATGGTTTTACCATGATGCAGTGGTAAATGTGTTTGTTGGCCTATCTTTTGCACATCCTGGCTGGTCTTTGGGTCAGTTTGTGTTGGCCAAATGGGGGGATCAGATGGGAACAGGAATAAGAGGTGGGGAGGAGGTAGGTGCTTACTTCTGAGTCAGCACTGCTGCTGAATGGTGGTCTGGGTTTGCACTAACAGTCTGCATTTGTAATGCAGTAACACAAAAATGATCTCATTCAGCACTGGTGCATTTAATGTTTTTATTTAAAAGGAAAGAGAAATCTCTACACAATTAAATACCTGTCTGCATTGTTTGTGGGATTTTTTTAACCCTTTCCTGGTCTTATTATTTTCCTTTAATACAACTGTATACATAGTTGTTATTGCTACTGATATTGTTAATACATAGTGATTTGTTTCTGATCGGTTTCCTGTAAGTATTTTTACAGCAGAGCTTGTAAATTGAACCCGCTATGGGTAAAGCATGTCCAATACATCACTCATAACAGCCCTTGTTTTGTCTCCTCTGAACGTTACTTGAAAGAGGAAGAAGAGTGGTCCTTCTTTGCTCAAAGTTTCCAGTTTGCTGGGGAAACTACCCAGCATGTTGTCTGTGGGCATTGCAGCTGCTGGACAAGTTGACTTCTTCCAGTTTGGACACCTGTTGTCAGCTACATGTAACAAGACAAGCTGGTCTGGGCCAAATGAACAATGGAAGAAGATAGGCGGGATACAGAACTGTGAATTTGCTGCCTTAGTGACGGCAGTATCTGCCTGAATTTCTAGAAAATAGGCAGTTCCAAGTGCTGTCTCCTCAACCACGTCAAATATTGGAAACCACTAGAAAGCTGCATCCTCTTTTTCATTGTTTGGACCCTTGGCTATTGCCAGCATTTAGGATTTACTGAGGAAGCAGTTAACTGTCTGAGCCAGCCTTGGGCATTTGCTGCCATGTGGAAAATGAGGCTGCTTTTGTTTCTGAGCTCTACAATGGCAGAAAAAAAAGTTGAAATTACTGCAGGAAACTCAGCACGTTGATGCAAACTTAGAGTACCAAAGAGGAAATCAGTCGTGACTGGTTTCCATGCTGATGTACGGCAGACCTATTTGTGTGGCTTTTTGTTCTGCCTTATTATAACGTACTTAGAAAGAAAAAAAGAACCCAAGCTGCACAGGTGCCCGCAGGGGTTCGGCTCTCCGCCTCTCCCGGTGCACGGCGCCGAGGCCCGGTATCGGCGGTATCGGGAGGCGGCAGCTCCCACTGCAGCCCCATGCGGGGAGCCGGCCCCGCTATCCAGTAAGGCCGAGCCCGGAGTGACGGCTCTGCGAGGGCAGATAAAGTCAGTCAGTCTGCGCAGGGCCGCAGAGCCCGTCGCTTCGGCGGCCGAGGAGCCGGCGGCCCTGGGAGCAGGACGCCCGCAACGGGGAAAAGCTGCGCCCCGGGGCGAAGCTGTAGGCGGCGGGGGAGCGTTCGGCCCGGCCCCGAGGGCGAGAGGCGCTTTCGGGAGAGCTCCGGTCGCCTCCCGCCGCTGCGGAGAGCTTCGCCCGGCCGCCGCCATTTTGCGGGCCGCGCTCCCCCCGCGGCTGTCGGACCGATCCCTCCCATCCGCCGCGCCGCCACCTCGCGAGGCGGCCGGGCCGGGCTTCCCCTGCGGCGGGCGGTGGCCTGGGGCCGTGGAGTGGGCCGGGCCTTAGAGAGGTGCTCAGCTCGGCCCTCTGTCCGCACACCGGTGCCTACCAAGCGCTAAGTAGGTAAGCGGCCGGCGCGTTCCCCATCCTCCGGCTCCCCCGTTTGTTTGTTTGTTTGTTGTTTTTTCCCCGGGACAGCTGTCACGAGCCATAGCGCCGCTATTCTGTTGCGTCTCGCGTTTGTCGGTGGAAACGCCGCGTGCTGGTGTCTGGGCGGCTGAGGAAAG